ATTAATTATTTTGTACTTTTTATGTTAAGCATTTAAGTTTTAGTTTGAACAAACTTCTGAATAAATACTTATTAAAAAGGTAAAATTATTGAGACTCCAAAATACTAATTTGCAATTCCTTTATCACTTTAAGATTTCCAAAATTATTAAAAAAATATTTTAATTAATTAAATGAGTTTTATAAATATTTTATATTTTTAAATTATTATAAGTGTTTTTAATTGAATAAAGAAAAATTTGTGGAATTATTTTGAAATAATATCCATTTGGAGAAAAATATGTTTTTTCATTATAATTATTTCTAGTATCTTAACATGTGTAATGCACATACATGTTTATTATATATAATTAAAATTTATATTAAAAAAATACAATTATATATATATATATAATTTGTATAAATAGATATTTTAAATATTTTAAATTATATTTTATATTTAGGATAAATAATTTATATTGTAGTGAAAAAACTCTTTTTATTTATTAAAAATTTATTGTAAATATTACTATTCAATTCATAAATAATTATAATAAATAAAAACTGAATTAGGTAAGAAATTAAAAAAAAATTCTACAATCTTTCTCATTGAAAAAAAACTCATAAAAACACTCTCGTATAAGATAGAGGTTTATATTTAATATATAGGAGTTGATTGTGTTGAGAGAAATATGTTTATTTTATATATTATTTATAATAATAAGGGAATGAGTTATTTTAGGGTTTTAAGCATAGATGATTTTACACTTCTTTGTTTTTCACCATATGCTCTTATTCTCTCTATGCTCTAAAGAAATTAAGGAACTGCTCAATGACCAAGAAGGACGATTACCCCAAAAATTTGTGTTTGTCTATGAGTGCTCGTCGAGGTAAGGGTGGAGTGATTAGTCTTGCTTTGGACGTAAAATATATGTTGCGTAGTAAGATTGACCCTGAATCTCTTTCTTTTTCATATGCATTGTATAAGGGAAGAATCCAATTTTTGATCATGACTTGCAATTCTATGTTCCATATGGTTATTCGGTATTCTAATTAACATTGTTGATTGGAATGTGTATTTAATTGTATGTAATAACTATTCTTGTGGATCTTGAATTGTCCATGGGTTCTTGTGGCAACCCAAAAGAATGAATGTATTGAGTGAATATGGGATAATTGAAATGAGCATGCGGATTTGAGTAATTGATGACTTGATTGCATAGTAATAGGTCGTAATTTGGCATTTTACCAATTGGATTTGAATTGAAGGTGTTAAAGAATGGTGTAAGGAGGGTTAGAAACCTATGAATAATACAATATCAAGTTTTAGATTGTCTTAGCTTGCTCGAGTGGCCTTAGACTTCATCTAAGTGAATTTAGCTTGCTTCAAGTGACTTTAAAATTGCTCAAGCAAGTCCTGACAAAGAAGTTTGACCAGCTACTCGCTTCATGTTAATTTTAGCATGCTTTGAGCAAGTTGATCTTGCTTAGGCAAATAATTGACCCACTTAAGCGAGTAGGTGGCCAAAGTTTGCTTTTATGGTCTTTATGAAAATTGTAGTCCTAGATGTTAGTTTTTCAATGTCGTTGGAATTACTAAAAAGAAAGTTTAGAACTCAAGTTATAATCAAATTAGTCAATGGAAATCAAGTTGTCAAATTTTAGTTGAAATATTGTAGTTTTGTAATTTTTTAAAATAGTATATAAAAGAATTAACTCTTGAGATCAACATAAAACTTGTAGATAATTGCCTTAAATTTCTAACAAAATTAAAATTAACTTAATAGCATGTATTTGACTTTAGATATCGTGTTTGAACTACATAAGGTCATAGACAACTAAGATATGAAAATGCATTTTGTGAATGGTGATGATGAATGACTTTATCCTTTAAGTGTTGGATCTTATGAATGATTTGAGGTACCTATATCAATGTTTAGGAAAGAGAAATCATGAGAGAATAATTGTGAATAAGTTATAATGTGAGTTGATTGTTAACGACTTAAGGTGTTTTAGTGATAGTGATGTCTGAGGAACTAATGTGTGATATCAATAATGTTACAAGACTAGTTAAATTATTAATTTAAATATTTAGTTTGGTGTTGATATCATAGTGACTATCATTGAGGTATTAACATGTGATTAGATGATTTCATAATGATTCTATCTTAAGGTGTTATCGGATGATGCTGTGGAAATTATTGTGTTTGAACTGTGAACATGTGACTCTTGTGTGATACAATAATGTGTTGTGCATGTGTTGATTATCCTGTCCAAGGAATGAAATATGTGTTGAGTATGTATTTATGATAATGCGAGGCATGATTGATGTAAAAGATGTGAATTGGTATTAACAAATTGGCAAATTGATGTGTGTGGATCCTATGAGAGTCATGCAATGATAACTTGGTAAATTGTGAATATCCATCATGATAACATGATATTGTATTGAGTCTTGTGTTTGTACATCATATGCATAAATATTTTTTTTATGGATATGATGTGAAATACACTGTCAAGGAAGGTTCTCCTTGTATAAAAGCTTAGAAATTCATGATCTTGGGGACAATTAGGTTTGGTATCCCCAATTTTGCTTGCTTGTGTGCATAGGATGAAACTTGTGTGACACAATTTTCACAACAAGCCCTTGGTGTATCTCCTCTTATTGTAAAGTGTAATGAGGGTGTGATCTGGCATGCTCTCCTAAGCTACTCTTGTATGCCTTTAGGCAATGGACAACACGATGTGTTTTTTACAAGTGATACATGCATATGCACATTGAAGTTTGTGTCCATCGCATTATGTATGTTGATGTGTAATCGTGTGATGAACCTTATTGTGACCCTTAATGGAATATGCTACACTATCTTGCCATTGCTATATATTATTGTTATTATATCTTGTGTATTTGGCTATCTAGCTACGTTATACCAATGAGTTAGAGTAATATGTTTCTCACTCTTCGTTTCTCGTTGTAAGTTTTGTGTTTATGTTGTTACAAGTGAGGTTCATCACAACGTTGATAATGTTGGAGACAAGCCTTAAACCTTGTGTTAGATTTCATACCCTGATAAAATGTGACATTGGAATGTAATTAGGATTTGAAATTATGATGTTTAATCATGTTTAGGCATGATGTTAGACTATTATTTATTTTTCATTAGACACTCATGTTGGGATCGCATTTTGTTCAAGTTGCTATGTGATATTTCTCTGAAGTAATTTGTTTTATTCAAAAAATTTTACTCTTTTAGAAATCTTTTTTTTTAATTTGAGATTATATGCTAATATTAACACGTGGGATAGAATGTGTAACAATCCCTATATTATTTTTTACTTTTATCTTGTTTTACAAACTCATCATTCAAAATAATCACGTGTCACAATATAAATTATTATCATATATCTAAAATAAAATTTATATATTTAAAAATATATATTTATATAAAATTTAAATATAATTTATATATTCAGATATAATATTTAAGAACTTTTCTTTAAATTCATCATTTTATATTAAATATGATCGTTTATTTTGCGCAAAAATATTTTTATGTTTTTCTTTAACGAAAATATTTTTAAGCATTTTTCTTCGATTAAAATATTTTTAGAGAATTCTAATAAATTCTCATCTAATTCAATTCTTATAAAATATCAATAATTAAAAATAATTTTGTGTCACGATATAAATTATTTATCATAAATATAAAATATAATTCATATGTTTAAAATATCTATTTATATAAATTTTAAACATATATATATATATATTAATTAGATATTCATTTTTCAAAAAAAATATTAATTAGATATTCAAATATAATATTTATTTCCATACACAATTTATTATAAATTTTAATTATATAATCAATATTTAACGAGTACAATGCACATATTATAATACCAATATCGCATATAAAAAATAAAAAACAAATAAAATGTACACAAATGTAATTTTTTTATATTTAAATAAAATAAATTTTTAGAATTATGATAATATAATTTAATTGATGAAAAAAATTAATAAAATATTTAGTGAATAAATATTATATTTAATTACTATATTACAAAACTTACATTTGAAAAGGGAAAAACATTTCTATTTATAAAAATATAGAATATATTTTCAAAATATTAAGAGAAAAAAATAAGTTTTTTAAATACATAAAATAACACTATGTATTATTACTTTTATTTGTCCTAACAAAAAAAATTGCAAATAAGCTAATAGCCTAATATTATAGATAACATTATAAGTTAGACTAAACATAAGTTAATATATAATATTTTAACTAATCAAAGATATTATTTATTAGGAGAAAAGTGTAGATAAATATATATAAGTGTAATAATTAATTCATGTTCAATTTTTATTTGCGTTAAAATAATAATTGATTAACAAAAGTTACATTTTTCAAATACAAATTAGTCATTTGATTAATTTTGAGATATGTGAATCATATTCATAGACAAAAAAAATTTGCATAATGTACAAGTTTATAAATATAAACATCGAGTCATTAAAATGTTATAATTATTATTAATTATTGGGGAAAAAATCACTTAATCTCTCTCTATAAGTAATTATTGAGGTGTACAATTATTTTTTATTTTAAAAAATAAAATGAAGACATGATAAAAGTTAAATAAAAATATGTATAGTTATTTTAAATTTTAACTTTATATTTAATTAGTGAAGTAGTTTTTTTCTATATACGGTTAAAATTTAATTATGATATAATTTATATGTTATTTAAGAGACAAACTAGTAAAAAAAAATTGTAAAAATGAAAAACTAAATATCACCATCATAACAGTCTTAAATTATTAAAAATTTATAAATTTGATCTATGAATTAAGAATTTTAAATTCAATAGTTGAATCGTTGAAATTTAATGTAAATCATGAGTTATTAAACAGAGTAAGTCTACCTAAACTTACTCTTAAAATAAATTGATCCTTCCTCTATATATCAAAATTGTAATTCGATGAAAATAACTAAGATATATAATTGTACAACCACTAGGATCAACTTAGTATTGGAATAGAATACATATGGTTCTTTGTCAAACTTTATTGTAATTCTGATGGATAAAAAAACATATATAATTGTACATAGACAACATGTTTTTTTTTTTTAAGTACTGTATATACATCACAAGTTCTATTTGGACTTTTCAAGGGATCAACACAACTACAACAGCTAACAGCAACAAACTGCTTTTAAATATGGCATTGACACATCTAAAAAGCACCACCAAAGTTCATCTGTTGCAACCATGATGCAATGATTGACCTCATTTTTTTCCATGTTGGCATCCCTCCCTCATCGTCGCAAACTGAATGCTTAGGCTTTGCTTTGAATTCTCCAAGGTATAACGCTTGGGTGCAGCTTTGGACTTTATGAGGGCCTTTATAAGCCTTACAAATGTAGCTTATGAAGTTTTCATAATCCTGCAGCAAAAGAAATTGGCAAGTTCTTTTGAATATCATGTACATTTCTAATTTCATTCATTATATGATAAAACTTGGTATTTCTTTTTTATTCATTAGAATTGAACTCAGTACAAGGAACTTCACATAGCTCACACCCTGATTAACTGAGTTAGACTTCTTGGTAACTTAGTGTATTTGATTTCATGTTAAATTCTCCATAAACACGTTGAAATACCAGTTAACATGACTATAAGTAAACTCTCACATGCTTTGGTTTTCCGTTGAAGAATTGATTATAGGTCCTGAGTTGAAACAATTTTAAGTAGCTTTTTGTGTTGAAACAGATTTTATACTGAAATTGTCTTTTTATAATAAAAACATCTAAACACAAACCACATCACTTCAAAATCATTTTTAAGCAAAATCAACTTCATTCAAAATCAATTTTGTCAACGCTCATCCACACACACTTACATATGCAAAGCATAAATTTCAGACTTCAGTGTCAGATTATTTTGTTAATTAGAGGTATATGTTAGTGTAAAATTAAAGCATTAGGAATGGGATCTGTTTTGACCGTATAAAATTGCAAAACTGACCTCATAGAGTGGTTCTCCATCCACAACTACCCATGGAACATACGTGTGAGGAGGCTTCAGAGCACTTGTTTCATCTGCATATTGTAGCTCCAACTGCATAAATATGGAAAAATGTTACCAGAGACAAAAAATTCAGCCAAACAGTAACACTGATATACCGAGTCAAAGCACATCTGTCATATCCGTTTTCTCTTTTTCTGTCAAGATAGTGTTAATATTCTGCAAGTTTGGCATAATATTGAAAAAGGATTTTGACAAATTAATTATCTTGAATAAAAATGAATGTTCAGAAGCTACAAATCAGAAGCAGCAGCAGCAGCAAAAGAGCTATAAATCATCTATGGAAATAAGATAATTTGTAGATCATCTTACACTGCTTTAGAGCTTTGTAACAATCAAAGCCAGGACCAATTTGTTTCAGTTAAATGTTAGAATAAGTTAAATTTCTTCTCATTAACTGTTTCATTTTGTTGTCTTACTATCCAAATTTCACATAACAGAACCAGTTCCTGCTAGTTAACATGGATTATCTCACCTTTAAGTGAGATCCATTTATCTATTTCCCTCAAGATTACTTCAAATAAAGAATTGAGAAGTCACCACCAACTCGCATCTGTATAACTGTTCAGATTTTCTAATTCCCAAAACTTTCCATAAGTTTTTTCATTTAGCCATGTTGGTAAAATTTTAAGGCTATTTGAAAAAGTTTAATTTATATTAACATTAACAAAATTTACATTAATAGCCAATCAAAAATCACGATAGAGAATTAGAGATGTCTATGTCTGAGTTGTCAGTTCATTTACTATTTTTTCTATTTGAAGACATTTTAGAGCACTTGAGTATCTTTCTTGATGACAAAAAAGGAATAAACAGATAATTTAATTTAAATATTATGCCATTATCATCCAACTTTTTATTTTTTGGATAACTACGTTTTCAGTGCAATGTATCCATCAATTTTTCATTTACAATACTCGAACTCGAAACATAAAGAAACTAAGTTCAGTTTCACTCAAAAAATGACTTGTTGGTATAATTATTTTATAGAATAAAATTGTTTACTCAATAGTAACTAATTTAAAAGTGATATCTAAAAGCGATTTCTATTTAGTTGACCGTTTAAATTTTTTTACTCAGGGTGCTGGGAAATTAAACTCGTATTATCATTCAATAATACTGACAGCATCATACTCAAGGTGAAGAAAAGCACGAACCTGTTTTCCATGTTCACTATTATAACACTGCTTAATAGGCTTCGAGTCCAGATCCAGTTTCTCAAAACAAGATTCCCACTCAGTGCGCTTACCCTGAAACACCAGATCCTCAACACAATAGATGAATGGAAAGTGCTTGCTCTGCAAAAAAAGTCAGGGTTACATAAATACTCATAACATAGATACATATGCAAAGCACTGTAATACAATTATTTAAGTTAGCAAACTCATCAAATTTAAAATGAGTGACATATGAATAAGGGACTCTCATATTTGAATGGGTTCATTTTCCCCTAAAAGTCCAAATTTCATAGACCAAATCAAATCTAATAATAAAAAAACAATAAAATATTTATATATTGAGACACATCAAAACTGGAGATACGAAACAACTTGATTGAATTTGTAATTTTCTAATCTAAACCGATCTGATGATTCAAACCAATAGCAACGGATTTTTTTCTTTCAGTTTGGTTCAGATTCATTGAATCATTGAGCCGTGTCCACCCCTAATCACTACAGTACTCCAAACACCAACTAAACAAATTAAATAACCCTTAAAACAATAATGAAAAAGAAATAAAGGCAAAGCAATTGTAGCGTTACCGTTTGAGGCAATATATGAATGGCACAGGCTTCCACTGTGTTGAGCAAGCACTCGTATGGCCCATGCTGTAACAATGAATAGCTAGTTGAGAAAGAAGGAGTTGAAGTTCACTTATTAAATTCGATGTGGGACTTAGTAATTAGAGTACCTGGCAGTTAAAGGTGTTGTTGTCTCGGAGTTTGGCATTGCCCCAGGGAACGAGTTTGAGGTCAACGATGGCGATGATGTCGGTGGTGAAGACTTTGGGAAGGTAATTGACGATGAAGTTGGCGCTGTAAGGGCACAGGGTTTCGTAGTAGAGTTCCAACGATACTTTGTCATGGGATTGAGAGGGAGAGAATAAGGCAGAGAAAGAGAGGAATAAGAAGAAGAGAGGAAGAGAAGAAGCCATGCCTGAAACTCTATTTCGGTTTCAACGGGAAAAGAGTATCACACTTTAACAAGATATTTCATCTTCCTCTGTCTCTCGCTCTTACTTCACTATATACTATTACAATGTCCACAAACTTTGAAACTCTATATTTTATTTCATAACAAATTTTATGAGAATTATTATTATTTATTATGGTTTATATTTAGTTTTCAAAATTTAAGATTTTAAATTTAGAGTTTAGATTTTAATTTCAGGTTTAATTTTTAATATTATTTTTTATTATTTAAAAATTTAAAAATAAAATCATCTAAATAATATATATATATCACAAATTATATTATCATTTTTATATATATTATAGATACTATAGGGGTCAAGTTACTTCGTGTCTCTAATAGTTACACATAAACAAATATTAAAAGTTACGGATAATTATTCAGAATGGATATATGAAGATTTATATATATATATATATTTTTTTTTAAGGGGTATAATGGTCTACTAAAAAGTGGAGACCAAAGGAGTGGTTACCAAAATATATCTCCTTTATAATAGTTATAAATATTATATTTCTTTTTTTTACATATATATATATATATGTTATATTTATTTTTTATTTTAATTAAAATTTATAATCTATTAAAATAATTTTAAATTTTTAATATTATTATTTTTTATGTGTGTTAACTAACTGTCTAACAATATCATTTATAAATAAATTAATTTTTTTATTTAATTTTAAATAATGCGTTAATAAATAGATAAATATTGATTAATTTAAAAATTATGAAAAATAATTTTGCAAGAAAAGACTTTAGCTAACTAAAATTACACGTCCATAAATTATAGGAATTATCAGTAGATTTAAGTGTTTAATTTATTTTGAACAAGTAATCGTTTAATGTTTATTAAATAGGTTATAAATTAGTATCTAAAATTATAAATGTTAAGTAATTTAACACAGAGTATTATGAGTTGTAAAAAAAATTATAAAAGAAGCATTTAAAATTATGAAAAATATTATTTAACATTTAAGTTATTGAATAAAAATTGTTTTGGTCAATGCTTTAATTCAAACATGTTATTAATCTAATGAAGTCATGGTTCAAAATTTAATAGTTAAATTGTAGTTGAATGGTATCTGAGATGATATTAATAAAATAATAATAATAATTAAATAATACATATAAGTTATTATTTTTTTTGAAGGGACATATAAGTTATTATTAAAAAATATATAACATCATAATTTTATAATATTAAGAATTAAATATTATTTATAATTTAATAAGTTGTTAATATTTAAATTTCATACAAAAGTTCAAATAAAATACATTATAATTGTTAACTATATTATATATAGGTAAATAAGTTTTTAAATTAAAAAGGTAAAAAAATAAACATTAACGAAGATAAGAAAAATAAAAATTAAGAATCTATAAGTTATAGTTTACTTCAATTACCTTATAAACATAAGTAGTAATTCTTCTCATAAATTCATGAACCAATATTTTGTTTTTGTCAAACTAACTTATAAACTAATAAATGATGAACAAATAAATTTCTTAAATGTTTTGTCCGTTTCTTTTTATTTGTCAAATTTAAAATGTTTAGGCAAATTTTATTTTTATTTACTTGTTATTTTTAAATTTTAAGATAACATTAATTGTTGTATTATAATTATATACCCTCATTCTTACCTGACTTTTAATTAATTTACACGACATCTACAATGTATTTATTATGAAAAAGAAGGTATAATAGAAAACATAAAAATCATTCTATAAAAAATAGAAAAATTTGTTACGTTTCTTGATTTATGCACAAGTTAAATATTTGTTATACTAAAAGTTAATTTATAAATATTTATGATAAATAAAAATTAAATTAGAAAAATTTTAAAAAAAATCCCTAAAAACTCCTTTATCAAAGAAAAAGTTTTCTAAAAATAATTTGGTATAAGATAAATATTCGTATTTAATAAATAATGGTTGAATATACTCATAATATTGTTTTGCAATAGGTTAAATTACACTTTTGATCTTTTTATTTTTATCAATTCGTGATTTTTGTCTCTATTTTAAAACAGAGACATTATTTTTCTAATTTTAAAAATATGAAATTCCGTTCTTCCTATCAAATTAACATTTATTAGTCGCTAAACTTTAATGTTTACTCATACTTAAATGATATGACATTAAGTAACATGACATTTAGAAATAAAAAAATTAAAAAAAAATATAAATATAATTTATTAATAAAATAAATATCAATTACTCATAAAAATAGATGCAAATGAAAAAATTTTGTATGTTACTTTTAATTTTTAGTCCTACATGTCATGTAACTAAATATTATATTATTTAAGTCACAACAAATTACTAAATAACGTTAAAATTTAACGATTAACGAATATTAAATTAAAAAAATAATCAAATTTCTATATCTTATAAAATAAAAAAATTAAATGTCTATTTTAAAATAGAAATATCAAAATTACAAATACGAAAAATAGTGAAATCAATAATACAATTTACTTTTATGATATGAGCTGTGTAATATTTAAATTCTTTTATTTAATATTTATTTTCGTAGAATAACAATAGAATTAACAAGAGGATAAATGAGCATCGTTCGTTTTCATTTCATTGCATGTTTGTCACTTGTCAAAATCAGTTCAACACGTATGCTACACTTGTTATTCCCTACTTTCTTAAGATTTACCGACACTTTTTTCTGTCTTTATTTAAATATCTCTTTATATTTATACCTATTATAAACAAGATATTCTATTTTATATATATAATTTCTAAACTATTTTATTTTTAAATAATAAAAATAATAATAATACAAATTGACTAAATTCAAGATTTTGAGATTCGACAACTAAGTATAATATCAGTTGACTTAACAAGTATTAATAATTTTTAAACATTTTAAAATAAATATAGAGACATGAAATATCTCGACTTCACTAGTATGTATAACATATAATAAAGGAAATTGTCTCATTTAGTTTATATATTTCTTAGATAATTTTACTCTTAAATTTTTAAATAATATTAAAAATTAATCATTCTTATAAAACTAAGACTCAAACTTAAAATATTTAAATTTGAAGACTAAATATAACATTAATTGATCTACTAAACATTAATAACTTTTAAATACTTCTATAAAATAAAATATAGAGATATAAAATGTCTCGACTTCACTAACATATAATAATAATAATAATAAGATACTAATCTTTTTATCCATAATATATA